GGGGGGTGGGGGAGGGAAGGAAGGGAGGGGGCTGATCAGGGTTTGAGAGGCATGGGCAGGCCTCAGGCAGCAGGGGTAGATTTGGAGGCTTGTCTTCCCCAGTCCTCTGTTCACCCGCCACCCATGCCTTCCTGCCTCCAGAATCAAGGTCATTGAACTTTGAGATGATGATGATGATGATGATGGGCAATCACTCATTGCTGAGAGTGATCATCTTCCATGGTAGTTGTGGACCCTCAGGTGGCTGATAAGGCTGATCCTTGAACCACAAAGTTCCATTGCAATGAGGACAGCCGTTGACCATGACTAGAAGCTAGTCTCCCCTTCCTCCTGTGCCTCTTCTCTTCCTCAGCTTGTCAGCAAGCAAATTCAAAATGTAGGGAGCTGTTGCATAGGGCTTTTCTCCATTTTGAGAGATCCTGGGCAAGTGTCTCCCAAGTATCAATGTTAATGTTGCACTTCAAGTTATCATTTAACAAGTCCTTAAAACACTTCGTTGGCCTCCCATGTTACAGTATCCTTCTTTCAGCTGAGATAACAGGACCTCGTTGACCTCCCATGTTATCTCAGCTGAAAGAAGGATACTGTAACAGGACCTGTTGTGGGAGGCAATGGTCTGGCATCCGAACAATGTGACCAGCCCAGCGAAGTTGCTGACAGATTATTATTGCATCTTTTTGGCATCCATTACAGAGCAGTTACAACCCAGCGAAGTTGCTGACATTATTATTGCATCTTTTTGGCATCCATTACAGAGCAGTTACAAGAAGCCAGACCTCTAAGATATGAGAGAAATGGAATCTTTCAGCCAAGGGGGTTGAAAGTCTGAATATATACAAGAAAAACTGCTTTGAATAAAGGACTCTAGCTTGCTAAATTCAGCTTTGGTCTCAGAAGCATATTTTTAATTGTTTGTAACCATTTCTATCCTTATTCCTTGTAATTGGCATCACTTAAACCTATGTCTGTTCGTTAATAAACTTGTCTTATGATAATTCAGAGCACGTTACACCTTTAAGTGGAGAGTATGCCAGTGCTAGTTAAATTAATAAGCTATATGCCATTTCTTTAAAAGAGTAGCAAACTTAACTTCTGTGAGTGTCCTGCAGCAAGTGTTCAAAACTACAAGGCAGATGGTGGGGGGAAATTAGGACAGAACAGGCATTGGGAGCACCCACAAAAAGTAAGTGGGCACTGAAAGCTAGGGTGACTTGCATGCTCATATAATGGATGTAGATGTCCAGGCTGAGCTACTGCATCACAGTATTTAAGTATCAGAGTTGTAGGGAAGGTGGTGACATAGCCCCAAAGTTCCACAGGATGGAAATGCAAATTTAAAGACACACCTAAAGTCAGATCTGGGGAAAGCAACCTGGTAGAATTTACATCATCATCAAGAGTTTGCCTGAGATCACATCAACAGACCTAGCTCACAGACCCTGAACTCTGCCTCCCCGCCACTTCCTATCCCTGCCAATTCCAAGTGGGAATTTTAGTCTCAAGACTTCACTACAATTATAAGGTGTAGTAGGTGAAAAAAAACTACTACATTTTGTTTCCTTTTCTTAAAAAGGGAGGGGTCACAGTTATCAATATTTGTGCTAAATGTTACATCTGCCATAAGCAGAAAAAAATTAAGCAGTGCTGAATGCACATGTATGCAGATTTGGATTAAAGAGTTCAATTGACCAGAACATAGGTGACATGAACAGCTGTGCTATTAAAAACTTATAAACCACATTCACCCATGGTAGACATCTGAAACTCTTGCATCTAAATGCAAGATCACATGCTAGAAGTGTCAGAATTTTCTTCAGAGATCCATAGTCCCAGACTGAAGGGTAGAAACTTGATTGAAACTAACACTTCAACCCAAGGCAAACTCTTATTGTACTATGTTGATGATAGAAATAAATCTACTGAAGAACTCAGTAACACAACAATTTCTGTTGTGCGTCTCTTCCTGATAAAAATTCACTGATCACCAGACTAGCAAACTGGGATAAAAGGCAAGGGGGCAGAGGCGGGGGGAGAGGAGTAGGAGCTGGGACTGCACAGGGAAAAAAAGCTACAATTACGTAAACTTTTGATTTAGAGAACAGAAATGTATCTTTGTGTTAGTTCATAGACTCTAAAGTTTCCTACTGTGCTGAGTAAACATGCATTTTTAAAAAAATACAAAACCAGGCAAATACTGAAAGACAGCAGAAACCGGAAACCAGATCAGGAATATACAGGATATGTATAAATACAGGAGGCCCCTGAGATGCGACCATCCGCGTTCCGACCCCCCCACTTACAACCATTTTTTTAAGTGCGGAAGGGGCTGGAAACCCCCGTCTTACGTCCTTGGCCTGCATTTACAATGGTGTATGGCACCTACCTTAAATGCAGGTTTGAGTTTACGACGCCCCTCACTTGCAACGCTTCCTTCAGAACGAATTGTGGCGCAAGTTGGGGGCCTCCTGCAATAATTGCCTTAAAATTAGTGCACTTCTCAGCCTCTTTTATAATAGAGTGCACTTGAGACTTTGTTTTCCAGAAATACCACTGTCTACTGGAACCAAAGCTATGTTTGAGTAATACATGTTTGACATCTCTGGATTAGGTGTTTTGGCCTTGAGAGCCTGGTAAATATCCATAGTTTATTTATGGATGTCAGATATGGAAAAACAGTTAAAAAGTCAACATTTAAACAAAATGTAAACACAAACCCCGCTCCTAATCCAAGTACACTGGGGAAAATGGTGTTCTCTCAAATACTACTGCATTGCATTGATGACCCTTGTAAGAGAGCATCTATAGAATACACCTGTGTATACAACAGGTACATATCCAGAAAGTGCTGAGTTTCACTAAAAACATTAGGTTTCTCAGAGTACAATATTAGTTTGTCCCTGTGGACTCAGGACGATAAGAGCTCTACTTAAGGCCATGTCTAGACTACTGAGAAGACTGATGCTGTCGCGGTCAATCTTCTGGTGTTCAATTTGGTGGGTCAAATAAAGATCCACTAAATCAAATGCTGAGGATACCCCCCTGTCGATGCCAGAACTTCTACTCCTTGCAAAGAGTAAGGGAAGTAGACAGGAACATTTCTCCCATCAACCTTCTGCTGTGAGGACAGTGCTACAGCTCAGCTTATGGTACTTCGACTTCAACTACATGTTTTACATAACTGGAATTGCGTACCTTAAGCCAATCTTCGGCAGCAGTGTAGACCTGGCCTACATTTTTAACACTGTAGAAAATAAAGACTTGTATATTTAACTGTTTTTCTTCTCTCTCTACTGTTCCCTTGCCCCCTCTGCAAGGTAGGTCCAATCTGTAAGCACTGCTAAAGCAGAAGAGTTAAATACTAGTAAAGCTAGATATTATAGGATTTTTAGTAGACATGGATAAACTGGTTTGGGAAATAAAAAAAGGCTTGCATCTCATCCAAAACTTTAAACCAAACTAAGATTAGAGAGTTTTTAGGAGAAGTACTCTTCCTCCAATGCTCAAATCCCAAAATTATTCCCAGTATTCAATATTCAAAGCTTAGAAACTTTCCCCAACAGCTGTAGCTGCTAGTCTCACATCTCATGTGTTGAGAGAGTTGGCAACAGGGAAAGACTAATGCATTCTTGAGCACCTTTGGGCCAGAAAAGCTCAAAAACTGTGACTTCCAAATGACTGCCCAGCGAGGGCCTACACGTGGAACACAAAACCAAGCTCACCAGAGGTAAAAGTCTTTAGACAAATGGAGAGAAAACAGGCTTATGTAGGAAAGAAAGAAGGACGTAGACCTCAAAGAACTGCAATGAGAATGCAAAACAAGTAAGATTATCTTGGCATAAAGAGTAGAGAAAATATTCATCCCTCATGACCTAAAGGAGCTGTAGGGACATCAGTCTAAAGGAGAGAAACTAAAACTTTCAGTGCCTCTCAAGAAGAAATGGCTACCAACCATACTTCACTCTCTCAAAACAAAGTCAGAATGTAAAGAACATTATTAGTAATAATTTATTACTGCTCTCCTTACACACTGACTGCCAAAACCTGGATTATAGACTGACAAGCCATTTGACCAATGATTGCCTATGTAATTACATGAAATATGCCTGGGGGATTAAGTAGAAATAGGAGAGGAACTCACATCCATCAAGCCTCCAGAGCTGTACCATACCATATTATATATTTTTTCTATTTATTTCTCACTCTCATATTTGTAGCACTTAATTGCCAAACAAAAGATTATAAACCTCATTATACAAAAGGCAAGTATCAAAATAAAAACATTATTTGTTTTAAATTATGTAGAAACAAAATACATTTCCTTGTAACTTGACTGACAAGAAGAGATGCTGCCCATTAAACCATTTTAAGCATTATATAAAATACAATCCAAAAAATTAAATTCTGGATGCAGGAATTTCAATAGAAAGTAACAAAAACAAACATTCTTGCAACACTGAAATTGGATGGCTGATTTGGGAGACTAATGAATTACTGTAAACAATTTAGTACTAATTTAATTTAACAATGTAGAGCATTTGTGAATTGCAAGGCAATAGACATCCATTTGTTTCTTCATTAAATCAAAGATAAAATTGTTGATTGCCCCACCATGGATTATTTTACTGAAGATAGCAAACAAATTTTATATTTAGCAATAAAAATTCATGGCTAGTCTCTGAACAAACAAATGTAACCAATGAAGGATACATAAAACAATTCTGACCAGCTGTGGTCTAAGGCAGATCAATATGCTGTTCTGGCAAAAAAAGGTTCATATTTTCAGTTAAATGAAAAATTACTTATACAGAAAATTGTTAATGCACCATTTCACTTCAATGGAAATTTATATTTAATACACCTATACATATTCTGCATTTGCAAAATAATGTGCTCATCCATGAGCATTAAATACAAACATAGAACTGTACGCAGAAGAAAAATAAGCATTCATTATTGTAAAAATACCAAGAATATGAACAATATCTTTATCTGTTACTTGCCTCAAATGTGTTACCAGTGATATCAAATTCTGGTGGTACAAAGGCACCTTCTGGATCATCTATTAAAAAAAAAAAAAGAATGCCAGATTAAGAAATAGACAACCATATATGCATATAGCATGTATTGACAGTTTGAGGTCCCAAAATGAAATCTATATAATTGACAAGTCTGTTGGCTATCCCACATCCAAATTGCAAAGATAACCCTGTACAGAGCAGATGGTTCCAGTGCTGTAAGGGAATTTTAATTCTTACCAAAAGACTCTTTAATAATCACATATGGAAGTATTCCTTTCTGTAGTGGGATTTTATATCCCAAGGTGAAATGCAATTTTTGCATTATTGCCTCCTGTTGCATGGAGCTCACAGTATCACTCCTTTAGAAGGAAAGGAAAGGCACACCTTAACCTGAATTGCTTACACATAATTTCCTCTTTCTTTAAAAAGAGATCGACAGTCATCTCTTCTAGCAGATTAAATAGGACTGTGACAATGTTCCAGAAATGACAAGGCAGTAAAAGAAGAGCAGTTTGATTCTGAATGAGTTGTAATAGGACAAAAAATAGGTATAAAATGGGAGAAGCACAGAGAAGATTGGAAAAATAGTCATTAAAAGTAGGTCGCTGCATACCGAATTCTTCCATTACAGGCAGTCCCCGGGTTACGTACAAGATAGGGACTGTAGGTTTGTTCTTAAGTTGAATCTGTATGTAAGTCGGAACTGGCGTCCAGATTCAGCCGCTGCTGAAACTGACCACCAGTTCCGACTTACATACAGAATCAACTTAAGAACCCCAAGCGTCCCCAAGTCAGCTGCTGCTGAAACTGATCAGCTGCTGATTCCAGGAA